TTAAAAATTAACAAATTAAATTAGATTTATTAAAAATAAATTTTGATTTTTAATTTAAAATGAGATAAAATAGATTAGCTCCATCAAATAATTAAAACCAATTATTTATCATAAAGTAAAAATAAAAATCAAATAATAATAAGAACTGACAACTGTGGTTGATACCTTTCCCTAATAAAATTTAATACTCCCATTTTATTTAATCGTTGACTCTAGGGGTCTTCTAGGTGCAATTTGATTTGAATTTTAATATTTTTTAAATTAATCCAAATTAATCAATTATTAAAATTTTTAAATTAATTAAATCCATTATAATATGATAATCAAACTAATCCAATTCAAACCAAATTAGTGTGGTTTGGTCAGTTTAATCGATTTTTAACATTGTTAAATGCATGAGATAATGAAAAAAATTTTAATATCAAATAAAAAACACCACTATAAAATATATTGTCATCCAAATAAGTGAAAACATAATAAAAGACATAAATTATAAATAAATTCTTATATTTCTTTGTAATTATAAAGATTGAAAAGTTCTATAAATTCTTTTTTACTATATCATGAAAGGCATTAATAGCGATAAAAGATAGCTAGAATACTCAAATCCACCCCAAAATATAGTGGTAGAGACAGATTCACCCCGAACAAAAAATGGGAATCAATCTACCCATAAAGTTTTTGATTTAGACAAATCATCTCAAATTTAACGTGTGAAGTCATCTGATATCAGTAATTCGTTAATTTGACGTCAGCAATCTGTTATTAACGACATAACAATTTAACGGATTGTTGACGTAAGGTAATATCACATGTTAAATTTGGAGTGATTTGTTCAAGTCAAAAACTTTGTAAGGTAAATTTATCTCCATTTTTTGTTTGGGGTAGATCCATTCCTACCATTATACTTTGAGAGTGAATTTAGGTATTTTGCCTAAAAGATAACTCCAAAGTTTTTAACATAGTGCAAATAATTATTAAAGACTTAAATCTTTTTTTTTTTTTTACTTAATGCATCAAATGATTCAATTTCTATCTTTCAAACCTTACTAAAAATGAATAAAATTTAATATGAATATCATTAAAATTGATTAAAAACATTCATAATCAAAATTTAAAACTCCTCAACCAAACATTTAAAAATAGTAAAATATCAAGACTAATTCTATTATATAGTTTTAAAATTTCTAGAATAATACTTTTTAAAAACTTAGTTAAGAGAATTAAAATATTATTTTAAAATTAGGATTAGAGTGTATGATTAA